TAGGAACCCATCCCCCGGCCGCACCTGTCCGGTGGGACGAGGTCCGGTGCGGATCCTTCCCCCGCTCCGGCCGCACTTCCCGCGGGAGCTGCCGCCTGCCCGCTCCGGTGGGATTTTGGGAAGGGGCGGATCGCGATAACAGCGACCCGACCCGCCAGGTGCCGGGCAGGAGAGGTGGCTGAGGATGCGAGGATGGGAAATCCGTGCTTGGGATGCTGCCTGCAGCGCACATCATCCCCTCTCCATCACCAGCGGAGGTGAGGGGGATTCTCCGAGCCGTGCGATCCCTGGGGAAAACGGGAGCTACAAGGGGAAGGTTTGTGTCCGAAAAGGAGAATTCCATATTTTTTTATCTCCTCAGCTACAAACCAGCTTAGACATCACCCGGCTCCAGAGCTCCTGGTGGAAATCCCAGCGGAGAGGAGAGATTCCTGCTGGGAGTTCTCTCCGGCGTCACCCTCCGGGGAGGGGGGACGGAGGGCGGGCAAAGTTCGCCTCCTATAAAGTCAGGTCTGGTCCTCTTCATTCATTCATTCCCCTGGCAGCACCGCCGGCAGCAGCGCGTCCAGCCTTTGCGGAAGATTTGGGAGCAAATCCTGCCCCGAAGCCGCGGGATTTGTGCGGGATGCCGAGGGCAGCGATGCGCGGCGCCGCTCTCAGCTGCCTGCAGCTCCTGCTGCTCCTCTCGGCCGCGGATTCCCGGCCCCACACGTGGGACCAGGACAGGTTCCAGCTGGAAGCCGTCAAAAAGGAGATCCTGGAGCGGCTGGGGATGCCAGCTCCCCCCGTCATCCGCCGCCAGCTGGACCAGGAGAGCATCCAGAGAGCGCAGCGGCTCTACCAGCGCAAAGTGGCGGAGCTGGCGGGGAACCGGAGCCGGGAGGAGGAGGAGGAAGAGGAGGAAGCCGCGTCCAGGAGCCGGCGGCTGCACCGCCTGACCCCCACCTGTAAGTGGCCGCGGCTCCGTGTCACCCCCCGTCCCTCGCGGCCCGCGACACGCGTGTGTGTCCCGGCGTGTCCCGCCCTCGGGAATGTCACCCTTCTGCCTGGGGACATGACCGGGCATGCAGCACGGTGGCCACGCTCATCCTTATCCTGCTCCTTCCTTCGCCCTGCGAGCGGGGAGGAGCCGGCGCTGGAGGCGTTTTGCTTAAAAAGCACAAAAAATCGGGGGGGTGGGGATGGAAGCTTTGATCAGCGGCAGCTCGGGGGCTCGGAGGGGGGCTCGAGGGATTTGGGGGTGAGCGGGAGGAGGAGGAGGTGAGGTGCCAGCCCCCCGATCCCCAGCTTCAGCTCGGGGGTTTATCTGCATCTGGGGTGGGGAGATTTAAATAATTAAAGATATTAATTCATATTAAAATTTAAATAATTCCCCTCCTGCTGCTTGGGCTGGGTGGGGACACTCGGGGGCTGGGTGGGGGTGCTCCAGGGGGTCCTGGGACGCCTTTTCTGGCACCGGGAAAACTGAGACCCTCCAGCCTGGGGGTCCAGGAATGGATGGGATGCTGGAATTTCCAGCATCCCTCAGCATGTGGGTGATTCCCTGGAAGCAAATCCTTGGCTGCCTGGCCGGAGCTGATCCCACGCCTGGGCTGGTGAGGAATTAATTACCGTCTCTTACATCAGCTGTCACCTCTGTCCCCGCAGTGTTGCGCTGGCTGGACGTCCCCGAGGGACGTGAGGACTCTCAAGGCCACCGGGACCCCCAGGGACACCGGGAGCCCCTCGGTCCCTACCGCTACCACCTCCTGCTGTCCCGCACCGCGGATTTCCACCGGCAGCTCCGCGTGGTGCGGGCGGAGCTGAAACTCCTCAAGCAGCCGCTGTCCCCTCCCGGCGCCTCGGTGCCACCGCGGGTCACCATCTACACCCTGCCGGGGGCTGAGGGGACCCCCCAGCTCCTGCACAGCCAGGAGCTGCGCTGGGATTCCCGCAGCCTGGACCTGACAGGAGCCATCCAGCCCTGGGTGGAGGGGCCCGAGGGCACGCTGCGCCTGGAGATGGATTTCAACACCGACATCTCTGCTGCCCTGGCCACCTCCGGGGGGGAAACGCTGCTGCTGGAGGTGGAAACCTTGGAGAAGGCACCTCGGGCGGCCAGGAGAGCTCGGGGGCTGGAGGAGGAGTGCGGGAAGAGCGACGGGAAGTGCTGCCTGAAGTCGCTGAAGGTCTCCTTCCAGGACATCGGCTGGTCGGACTGGGTGATCGCCCCCAGCAGCTACTACATGAGGTTCTGCGAGGGTTCCTGCCCCCACAACTACAAACCGGCCAGCATGCACGCCCAGATCAAATCCAGGGTGCACTCCCTGTCCAAGGCTGCCCCCCCGCCCTGCTGTGTCCCCGCTGGCTACGACCCCATGGTGCTGATGCACCTGGACAGCGAGGGCAGGCTGGTGTCCAGCCTCTTCGAGGACATGCTGGTCACCAGGTGCCACTGTGCCTGACAGCTCCAGCTTTGCCCATCCAGGTGGGGAAAAGCCATCCTGACTCCTGGCAGATCCAGCATCTCAAAATCCAGATCCGGTGGCGTCGAGTGACTCCACGCCAGCCCTGGATCCAGCACTGGGCTCAGCCAGGAGTCTCCAGCTCCAGCATCCTAAAATCCTGTGGCACCAATTGACTCCACACCAGCCCTGGATCCAGCACTGGGCTCAGCCAGGAGTCTCCAGCTCCAGCATCCCAAAATCCTGTGGCACCAACTGACTCCAGCCCTGGATCCAGCACTGGGCTCAGCCCTGGGGTCTCCAGCTCCAACATCCCAAAATCCTGTGGCACCAAGAGATTCCAGCCCTGGATCCAGCACTGGGCTCAGCCAGGAGTCTCCAGCTCCAGCATCCTAAAATCCTGTGGCACCAATTGACTCCACACCAGCCCTGGATCCAGCACTGGGCTCAGCCAGGAGTCTCCAGCTCCAGCATCCCAAAATCCTGTGGCACCAACTGACTCCAGCCCTGGATCCAGCACTGGGCTCAGCCCTGGGGTCTCCAGCTCCAGCATCCCAAAATCCTGTGGCACCAAGTGACTCCACAGAAGCCCTGGATCCAGCACTGGGCTCAGCCAGGAGTCTCCAGCTCCAGCACCCTAAAATCCTGTGGCACCGAGAGATTCCAGCCCTGGATCCGGCACTGGGCTCAGCCAGGAGTCTCCAGCTCCAGCATCCCAAAATCCAGCTCCTGTAGCACCAAGTGACTCTACACCAGCCCTGGCTCTGCTTCAGCCCTTGGGTCTCCAGCTCTGCCACCCAGCTCAGCCCCAGCATCTCCAGTTGTGAACTGTCTACCAAAATAACTTATTCCCCTGTCTCTTCTCTACTTTAAATCCATATTTTATTGAGCAGGTGGATCCTTCCCACCCAAGAGGCCCCCAGTGGGCTGGGGTGGGTCTGTGCCCAGGTGTCTCACTCCAAACCTTCTTCTCTGCTCAGAGACTTATTTATGCAACCCAGTTATTTATTTCTAACTTATTGTATTTTATAGCAAAATATCCTTTTTTTGGCGGGGGGGGAAGAGGGAGAGGGTTTTGTGGTTTTCTATTTTATATATTTCTATAAAACCAAAAGGATGTAATAATAATGAATAAAGTGATTTTAACAGGGATTCTGGCTGTTCTTCCTGCACACCTGGGGGGGGGTCTCTGACAGGACCCCTGCTCCTGGGACCCTCAGCTCCCCTGGGATCTGCCTCCATGTGGATTTGCTGGTAAATCCTCACGGCTTTGCAGTGCCAGCGTGTGAGTAATGCCTGGGCTCTGCTCCCAGAGACCTTTGAGCTGTTTGTGTCCTTGGGAAGGGCGCTGGGCACCCCTGGGGGTGACGTCCAGCTGGGAGGTGACCATTGCCCCATTTCCAGGTGCCTCCAGCCCTGGGACCCCGCGGGCACCAAAGGGATGGGGGGGATCCCCCCTCGGAGGTTGGTGGCGCACACGGTGTCCCCAAGGCCTCCCCGTGGCTCCATGGGGTGGCTCTGCTGGTCACAAATCCTTCCTGTCCCCTCTTCCAGTGTGATCCGGGGGTGTCCTGGGCTGCTCAGTCCCTCAGCAGCTCCTGCTGGGCTTGGGGCAGGTGGGATGTGGGATCTCTGCTCTGGGCTGGGGATTCTGGGGACCAGGGACTGGGGGATACAAGCTGTGGGGACGGCCTCTCTGGGGACAGGGGGCAGGGACAGGACAAACCTGGCTTTTGGTCCCTTGAGACCCCCACTTTGGGGCTCTGGGCACCTGCTCCTGAGGGTCTGCTCCCTTGGGACCCCCAATTTGGGGACACAGACTCTGGGAGCCCCCAGGAAAACCCCACATCCTGCCCAGGGCTTCCCACAGACCACGAGCTATGCGGGTAATTAGAGATAATTAAACCATTTAATGGGGCACAGTGAAGCCTCCCAGGGACTGGGGGGACACCCAGACAAACCATGGGGTCCCTGTGTCCCAACAGCACGGGGTCCCACCAGGAGGATTTAAAAAAGGAGCTTTTTCTTTGTTCCCCAAAGCAGCAGAATTCGCAGGAAAAGATTGAGCAGGTGCCACCGGATGTCCCCAACCGCCAGCACGTCCCCAGGCCAGCACACCCCACGCTCTCCATCGGCCCAGAAAGGGGAAGAGGAAGCCAAGGCTGTGGTCAGCCCGGCTCAGCTAGGCTGAGCTCAGCCAGGCCGAGCCCAGCCCCAGCTCCAGACTGAGCCCAGACTGGCTGAGCCAGTGCTGAGTCCAGTCCCAGTTCCTCCAGAGCTGAGCCCAGCTCCAGCTCCAGGCTGAGCCCAGACCCAGCTCCAGAGCTGAGCCCGGCCAGGCTGAGCCAGTGCTGAGTCCCGTCCGAGCTCCAGAGCTGAGCCCAGACCCAGCTCTTCCAGGCTGAGCCCAGCCAGGCTGAGCCAGTGCTGGGTCCACTCCCAGCTCAGCCAGGATGAGCCCAGATCCAGCTCCAGGCAGAGCCCAGCTCCAGCTCCAGGCAGAGCCCAGCTCCAGCTCCAGAGCTGAGCCCAGCCCCAGCTCCAGTCCTGAGCCCAGCTCCAGCTCCAGGCTGAGCCCAGTCCCAGCTCTTCCAGGCTGAGCCCAGCCAGGCTGAGCCAGTGCTGGGTCCAGTCCCAGATCAGCCAGGCTGAGCCCAGCCCCAGCTCCAGTCCTGAGCCCAGCTCCACAGCTGAGCCCAGCCCAGCTCCTCCAGGCCGAGCCCAGCCCCGCTCAGCCAGCCCCAGCTCAGCCAGGCCGAGCCCAGCCCAGCTCCTCCAGCCCCGCTCCTCCAGCGCTGGCCCCGAGGCTCCGGTGGCGGATGTGGCAGCCGGTGTCCCCGCGGTCGGTGGCCGCAGCCCCGGGAGGAAACGCCAGCTCAGCCCTCACCTCCGCCTGAGAATCGGGGCGAAGGAGGCGACTGGGGCTGCCAAAAAAATCCCCCCTGCAAAAGGCGCTCCCGCGGGATGTGCGTGGGAGCCCTGCACGGCGGCGGGGAATGTCCCTGTCCCCTCTGGGCTGGGGGACAGCCGGGGAAAGGGCAGCAGTGGGGGACACAGGGGGTCCCCCCAGCCCCGGCAGGGTCCCCCAGCCCCTCACTGGTCAGGAATGATGTAGATGTCCTCGGTGGGGCACACAGTGTTGGCGTAGATGGGCTGGTCCCCGGGATTGCTCTCCAGGAAATAATCCTCATCCAGCAGGACCTGGGGGCTGGGGGACAGGGGGGACAGTTGGATGGGTTGGGGTGGGATGGATGGGATGGGATGGGATGGGGTGGGATGGATGGGATGGGATGGGATGGGATGGGATGGGATGGGATGGGATGGGATGGGATGGGATGGGATGGGCTGAGATGGACTGCATGGAAAGGGATGGATGGGACGGCAGGTTCAGCACAGGATGGAGTGGCATGAGGCCGCAGAGGGCAGCACAACCCACCAGGGCACAGCCCAGCAGGGAGGGCATGGAGCATCCCCGGAATGCCCATTCCCTGTGCCGCAGCCTCACCTGTAGCGCGGCTCCTGCCCCGCCGGTGCCCATCCCCGCGGGGCTCCCGGGGCCGTGCCGGGGCTCACGAACACGTTCTCGTAGTCGGGGCCGTCGGTGACATCGGCGGAGCCGCTCCCGGTGTCCCGGCTGATGTAGCGCGGCTGCCGCGCGTTTCCAGCGGGATCCCGCTTCCCCCTCCCCACGCCGCCCACCGCGGCTCCCGCTCTCCTCCGCCGGTACCGAACGGCGGCCACCAGCGCTGCCACCAGCGCTGCCACCAGCACGGCCACCCCCGCGGCCACCCCGGCCGCCAGCCCCGCGCCGGGCCCGCACTCCCGGCCGTGGAACTCCGTGACGTTGAAGGGATGCCCGTGGGATGTGAGGCACAGGCAGGTGATGCCCGGGCGGGCACAGGGTGCCAGCACCGTGCCCAGCAGGTCGCAGCGGCACGACACGCTCAGGGAGCTCAGCGTGGGCTGGAAGGCGGCGGGGGGCACGGCGGGGAGGGGGTTCCCCTCCAGGCTCAGGCTCCGCAGGGCCGTGGCGTTGCTGAAGAAGCCGCGGGGCAGCTCCCGCAGCCGGTTCTCCGCCAGGTCCAGCTCCTCCAGCCGGGGTCCCAGGCGGGCCGAGGGGTTCAGCGCCTCGATGCCGTTGTTCCTCAGCAGCAGCCGGCGCTGCCGGTGGAACGGGCCCCAGTCCAGCTCGGCACAGCCGCTGCTCCTGTTGCTCAGGTCCAGCTCATCGGAAACGCCCAGCAGCAAGGGGAAACACGGCGACACGATAAAAAAGGGGCTCCCCGGGAGCAGCAGCAGCAGCAGCAGCAGCAGCGGGGCCGCGGGGACCCCCATGGTTCTTCCACTGCAGCGGGAGCCTGGTGGGAAACGGGAATCAGGACCCCCCCATTGCCAGCGGATCCCCCCTCCCAGTGCAAACCAGTGCAGCCCAGTGCAGTCCCCACCCCGCTGCCGCTGGTGCGGGGCTGGGCAGCTCCTGGGGGTCCCAGCGGGGCATTTCCTGCCCCCCTTCCCCCTCCCAACCACGGCAGCCCCACTCGCCTGCGCTCCGGCCGCTGCTGCCTGGTGTGGGGAAGAGGAACAGGCGGGTCCGGCTGTCCCGTGTCACCCTGCCAGGGCGTAGCCGGCCCCGGGGGGGGGGGGCAGGGGGGCAGCACCCCCACCTCAGCACCCCCTGACCCCTGCCAGACCCCCCCCGGTCGTTTTTGGGGTGCTGAGCATCCCTCTGGCACTGGCTGAGTGTCCCGGTGACCCCTGTGACCCGAGGGGGGGGGGTGACACCCACGTGGGCACACAGACCCCCCCCTGAGGCAGCACAGGGACCCCCCGAGTGTGAGGAGACCCCGGGGCCGGGTGGGAGCCAGGGGACTCTGTGGCTGTGTCCCCTGGCAGGGTGGCTGTCCCCATCCCGGTGTCGCCTCCCCGTGTCTGCAGCTCAGTGTCCCGAGTGCATCATGTCCGTGTCCCCTCCCCATGTCCGAGCCCCCTCCGGTGTCCGTGTCCCTCCACGTCCACTGCCCTGTGTCCACCCTTGTCCCCTCCGTGTCCCCGCCGTGTCCCCCCGGTGTCACACCGTGTCCGTGCCCGCCCCCTGGTGTCCGAGTCCCTTCGTGACTCCCTGCTCCCATCCCTGTCCGTGTGTCCCCTCGTGGTGTCCGTGTGTCCCCTCGTGGTGTCCGTGTCCATGTATGCCCAACCCCTCGCACGTGTCCACCCCCACGTCCACCTGTCACATCCGTGTCCCCCTGTGTCGCGTGTCTGTGGCCACCCCCCTGTGCCCCTCCGTGTCCCTCCTGTCCCCATCCCCTCGTGTCGCTGCCCCTTTAAGTCCACCCTGTCACATCCGTGTCCCTCCGTGTCCCCCGTGTCCCCCCCCTCCCATATCCACCCTTTCATGCCCGTGCCCACCCTTTCTCGCCCGTGTCCCTCCGTGCCCACCCCCTCGCGCCCGTGCCCACCCTGCCACATGTCCACCCCCTGTACCCCTCGTGCCACCCCCTCGTGTCCCTCCGTGCCCACCGTGCCCGTGTCCCCTCGTGCCACTGCCCCTTTAACTCAACCCCCTCGTGTCCCTGATCCCCCGTGTTCCCCCATCCCTGGGTGCCCACCCCCCTCGTGTCCTTGCCCCTCCCTGCCCACCCCTCGCCTCCGTGCTCCGTGGCCGGGCCCGGGGCCGCTGACAGCCGCCGCCGCGCCATGTACGCCAAGGGCAAGGGCTCCGGCGTGCCCTCGGACGGCCAGGCCCGCGAGAAGTGAGTGCGGCGCCGGGAGGCGGCGGGGGACGGCCGGGGCGCGGAAGTTTTTGCCGGGGCGGGCGCCGGGGGAGCGGGGACGGAGCGGGAAGGAAGGGAAGGGGGGGGGGAAAGAGATCGGGAAAAGCGGGGGGAGATCGGGGGGCGGGCGGACCCCCCGGCCCCGCCCCGCCGGGGAGCACCGGCAGCCGCGGGGCAGCGGGAGCGGCGGGGGTCAGCCGGGCACCGGGAGCCGGGATGAGCCCCCCGGTCTGCGGCATCCCCCGGGGCACCGGGAGAAGGGATGAGCCCCCCGATCCGTAGCATCCCCCGGGGCGCCGGGAATAGGGATGATCCCCCCGGTCCGTGCTATCCCCCGGGGCACCGGGAGCACGGATGATTCCCCCCGATCTGTGCTGTTCCCCGGGGTACCGGGAACCGGGATGATCCCCCCGGTCCGTGGCTTTCCGGGGCACCGGGAGCCGGGATGATCCCTCTCGATCCGTGACATCCCCCGGGGCACCGGGAGCTGCGATGTGCCGGCGTCCGTGGCATCCCCCGGGGCACCGGGAGTCGCGATCACGCCGGGGCTAACGGGAGCCGGGATGTGCCCCTCGGCTATTGCCACATCTTGGGCCACCGGGAGCACCGGGACCCGGGCTGATCTCCCCGGTATCCCCGGGGGCACCGGCAGCCGGGATGCCCCTTCCCCGACCGTGCCATCCCCCGGGGCACCGGGACCCGGGATGATCCCCCCGGGCCGTGCCATCCGCCAGGGTGCCGGGAGCGCACGGTGAGCTGGGCTGTGCCCCCCGGTCTCTGCCATCCTCCGGGACACCGGGAGCCGGGCTCATCCCCCCGGGCATTGCCATCCCCCGGGGCTACCGGGCGCCGGGATGTGCCCGGTCCGCAGCCTCCCCGAGGGCACCGGGAGCCCTCCCCGGCCGTGCCATCCCCCGGGGCAACGGGGACCGGAATGGCACCGGGGCTCCCGATGCTCCCCCGGTGCCCAGGACGGTGACCCCGCTGTCCCTGTCCTGCTGTGTCCCCGTGCCCGAGGCCACCGCGGTCCCCGGGGGCGGCACCCCCCGGGGCTGGGACCCCCGCGGGTCCCGGGAGGGGACGGAGCCCCGGGGACACGCGTGGTGGCACTGAGCCACATCCTGTGTGGGTTGTGTCGCCTGTCCTGGAGCCACCCCGGCCGTGCTGCCGTGGAGGGCGTGCGGTGTCACCGGCGGGAGTCACTCGCTGCCACCGGCGGGAGTCACTCGGTGCCACCCGCGGGAGTCACTCGGTGCCACCCGTGTCACCTCGCAGGGAGGTGACATCGAACCTCCTTCGTTAATTCCGCGCTGATTGAGCGGGGGGCTCCCTCCTGGCCGTCCCTCGGGGTCCGCTGGGTGGGGATGTCACCGCGGGGGTGGCCGCTCCCTGACGCTGTCCCTGTCCCCGTCCTGTCCCCCCAGGCTGGCGCTCTACGTCTACGAGTACCTGCTGCACGTGGGGGCCCAGAAATCCGCCCAGACCTTCTTGTCGGAGGTAAGGGGGGAGGGCGGCACCCCTGGACCCCCCCATCCCACCCACGGGGGGTCCTGGAGCCCCTCCCACCCCTGGTGGGGGTGCTGATCCCCTCCCCACTGACCCCCCCCCGCCCGTGTCCCTGCCTGCAGATCCGATGGGAGAAGAACATCACGCTGGGGGAGCCCCCCGGCTTCCTGCACTCCTGGTGGTGGTGAGTTGGGGTCTGGGGGGGTCGGAAAGGGGGGAATCCCCCCCATTCCTGTGACAGAAGGGCTGGGAGGGGGTCTGGGAGCCGCTCCCCACCCCCCGTTCTGCCACCGCATCACCTCGTACCCCATAAACCTGTCCCTCTGCTTTTCCCATCAGCGATTTGGGGGCTCCCCCCTTTCCCTCCCCTCCCGGCCCCCCCGCCCGGCTCCTCCAGCTGGATCCAATTTGGCACCAAGAGAGGAGCTGGGGGGGCTCCCAGCCCCGGGGCTGGACCCCCGCACTGGGCGGGGGGGGCCCAGCAGAGCCCCCCGAGGAGAGTGGGGGGGCTCGGGGGTGGGCAGTGATTGATCAGTTGGTGATTTTGGGGGGGTTAATCCGGCACCCCCTAAACCTGGGGGGGGGAGCACCCAGAAACAAACGGGGCCCCTGTGCTGTCCCACACCCAGGGCGGGGGGCTCGGGCAGGGGACCCCCCCTCCCCATCCCGGGATGCTGCAGCCTGATGTAAAGTCCCAGGAATTTGGGCTCCGGCGCCGGGAACCCCCCCCGGGTCCCTGTGTGCTGCCAGCCCCGGATCTGTGGGTGACCTATTTCACAGGGCAGCGGTGAGGGGGGGTTAATCCCTGGGGGCCTGGCTCGGTGCCCCCCCCTCGGGGACCCCAGCGTGCCCTGGTGTGCCCATCCCCCACTGTCACCCCCCTCTGGGGACAGGGACCCCCCCTCACTCACCATGGGCGCAGTGCCAGGCTCTCGCTGTGTGTGTGGGGGGGGGGGGGTCCCCCCCCCCCAGCGGTGTCACGGGGAGCACCCAGAAACAAACGGGGCCCCTGTGCTGTCCCACACCCAGGGCGGGGGGCTCGGGCAGGGGACCCCCCCTCCCCATCCCGGGATGCTGCAGCCTGATGTAAAGTCCCAGGAATTTGGGCTCCGGCCGTAGCGACCGTTTCCAGGGAAAACAGGCTGAGCCGGGAGGCCCCCGCCGAGGGGGGGACACGGCCGCAGCCCCCCCGCCCCACCGGGGACACGTGGGGCTCGCTGGGGAGGGGGGCGGGGGTGTAAATTGTGTGGGGGGGGTCCTCACCCGCCGCCCCCCACCCCAACCCCGTCCCGTTTTCCCAGCGTTTTCTGGGATCTGTACTGCGCCGCCCCGGACCGCCGGGAGACCTGCGAGCATTCCAGCGAGGCCAAAGCCTTCCATGACTACGTGAGTGCCTCGGCACGGGGGGGGTCCGTGTCCCCCGCCAGGCTCTCGCTGTGTGTGTGGGGGGGGGTGTCACCCCTCCCCAGCGGTGTCACTGCAGGACTGGGGCTCTGTGGGACCCCCCCACACTGAGGGGACCCCCCCTCAGAACGGCTCTGCTCCTTCCCAGTGCCAGCTCTGGGGGTTCAGTCATTGGCACAGGGGCAGTGTGTCCCTGCCCCTGCCAGGCACGGGGGGGGGGGCTGCGCCGTGCCCTGGGGTGGGGAGTGGTCCCCGGGGTGGGGAGTGGTCCCCGGGGTGGGGAGTGGTCCCCAGGGTGCTGCAGGGTCCACAGTGCTGTGGGATGCAGGATCCAGAGCCCATGGGATGCAGGATGATGCAGGATCCATGTCCCACAGGATACTGTGGGGTGCTGTAGGGTGCTGTGGGATGCTGTGGGGTGCTGTAGGGTGCTGTGGGGTGCTGTAGGGTGCTGTGGGGTGCTGTGGGATGCAGGGGGATGCTGTGGGATGCAGGGGGATGCTATGGGGTGCTGTAGGGTGCTGTGGGATGCTGTGGGATGCAGGGGGATGCTATGGGGTGCTGTAGGGTGCTGTGGGATGCTGTGGGGTGCTGTGGGTGATGCAGGGTCCGCAGCCCCACAGGATGCAGGGTTCTGTGGGATCCACAGGGCTGTGGGATGTGGGATGCTGTGGAGCCCACGGTGCTCTGGGATGGGGGATGCCACGGGATGCAGGAGGCTGAGGGGTGATGTAGGAAGCTGTGGGGTGATGCAGGAGGCTGTGGGATGTTGTAGGATGCTCTGGGATAATGCAGGATGCTCTGGGGTGATGCAGGATTCTGTGGGGTGATGCAGGAGGCTCTGGGGTGATGCAGGAGGCTGTGGGATGTTGTAGGATGCTGTGGGATGTTGTAGGATGCTGTGGGATGTTGTAGGATCCTGTGGGATGCTGTAGGATGCTGTGGGATGTTGTAGGATCCTGTGGGATGCTGTAGGATGCTGTGGGATGTTGTAGGATGCTGTGGGGTGTTGTAGGATCCTGTGGGGTGATGTGGGATGCAGATGGGATGCTGCGGGTGCTGGGTGGGGGGATGCTGTGGGATGTTGTAGGATGCTGTGGGATGTTGTAGGATGCTGTGTTGTCCCCAGTCCCACGGGATGAGGGATGCTGTGCCGTGCAGGATGCCCCCGTGGGATGCAGATGGGATGCTGCGGGTGCTGGGTGGGGGGTCCCTGTCCCCTGGGGGGACACCCACAGTGCCGGGGGGGGGGGCTCTGGGGGCTGCAGGACCCTCCGTGCCCCCTGGATTCAGGACCCTGCGGGGCCCACGCGGAGCTGCTGCCCCCCAGGAAACCCCTGACCCCCGTGGGGTCCCGTGGGGTCGCGCTGGCGCCGCGGGGGCTGCAGCAGGACCCCCCCCCCGCCGCCCCCAGCGCTGTGCAGAGCTGATTTCCATGCTGGAATTAATGAGGCTGCCGGTGCGGTGCCGGTGACGCCGGGGACATGGCGCGGGTCAGGCCACGTTGCCATGGCACTGCTGCCTGGCAGAGCTGGGGACAGCTCGGGGGGGGGAGCCCCACGGGCCCCCCCGCGCCCGCTGGGGTGCCCCACGCAGCCCTGACCCCGTCCCAGTGCCCAGCTGGGCTGAACTGGGGGTCCCAGCACGGAGGTGCAGCCCCCTCATGTCCCCAGGGGTGCTGCTCCATCCCCCCCCCCCACCAGGCACATCGGGACCCCCGGGAGAATCCTGGTGACCCCCTAAAATTTGGGGGGGGGGGTCCAGCCTGTGCACAGCAGATGGGGGTGGGTGTTGGCAGCAGCTGCCCCACAGCGGGGTCTGGGGTCCCCCCCGGGGGTGAGCAGCCCCCAAACTGTCCCCCACCTGTGTGTGCCCCCCCCACCTCCAATTTTCTCCCTCCTGACCTTGAGCCCGCGGGAGGAGCCGCAGCTCCCCAACCTGTTGCCATGGCAACTCTGCTTTGCATCACCGAGCGATGGGGGGGGACGGGGTGGGGGGGTCCCCATTTTGTCCCTGCTCTGAGGGGACAGCGCTGTCACCCCCAGGGGTGTCACCCCTGCAGCTGGGGGGCAGCAGTGGCCTCAGCCTGTCCCTGTCGCTGTGTCTGGGGCAGCAGAGGGGGTCCCCAAGAGGGGACACAGCCTGGGACCCCCCCCGCCCCCCGGGACCCCCACGGATCCCATGGGGTGCCGTTGTCACCAAGCCTGGCTGTCACCCAGCCGTGACCCGCGTGCCACGGGGTGTCACCATCGCCATCCCTGTCCCCAACCCGGCACCCCCCGAGCACCGCGGGACCCCCCCCATCCCCGCACGGGCTGGCGGTGGGCTTGGGGGGGTGGGGGGCTTGGGGCCCCCCGGGTGGAGGGGGCATAATGGGGCACTGGGATAATGGGATAGGGGGTACTGGGGTAATGGGATGGGGGGTACTGGGATTATGGGATGGGGGGTACTGGGATAGGGGGATAGGGTGGTGGGGGGATACTGGGGTACTGGGATAAGGGGATAATGGAATAATGGGGTACTGGGATAGCGGGATACTGGGGTACTGAGATAATGGAATAATGGGGTACTGGGGTGTTGGGATACAGGGATAATGGGGTACTGGGGTACGGCAGGGTCAGGGATGCAGGGGTGGAAGTGGTTACAGGAACAGGGTGACAAGGATGTGGGGATGGGTACAGTGGGACAGGAATGGGGATACAGGGATGGATGGGGTACAGGGATAAAGGAACGGGAATGGGAATTCAGGGGTGGGGACAGGGAAACAGGAATAAGGACGTGGGTGGGGACAGGGATGGGATAAGAGGGGCAGGGAATGGGGACAGGGAATGGGGATATAGGGACAGGGATGGCTTTTGGGGACAGGGTTGGGGACAGGGAATGGGGATATAGGGACAGGGATGGCGGTTGGGGACAGGGGCACAGGGTGGGGACGGAGACAGGGACAGGGTGGGGACAGTGCTGGGGGTCTCCCAGCCCTGCTGACCCCCCCCTCTCCCGGCAGAGCTACGGCAGTGGGATGCGCCCCCCCCCCAGCTCCCTGGCCGGCCCTGGAATGCCCACCATGAACATGTAAGACCCCCGTGCCCTCCCCCCCGTGACCCCCCAGCGTGGGGGGAGCCTCGGGCCCGGCAGGACCCCCCCTCACTGTCCCTTTGCCTTGCCAGGGGTCCCGGTGGCCGCGGGCCCTGGCCCAACCCTAACGCCAACTCCGTAAGTTTTGGGATTTGGGGAGGGGGGGGAATACCCTGAGGGGGGGTCCTATGGGGGTGCTGCCCCCCTTTCCCCCCCCTGCTGACTCCCCTTTGTCCCCCCAGATCGCCTACTCCTCCTCATCCCCTGGGAATTACGTGGTGAGTATTGGGGTGCACTTTTGGGGACATTGGGATTTGGGGTGGGGTGAGTGGGATTTGGGGTGTCAGTGGGATTTGGAGGGGTGTCATTAGGATTTGGGGGATGTGAGTGGGATTTGATGGCATGAGTGGGATTTGGGGGGCTGTGAGTGGGATTTGGGAGGGTGATTGGGGTTTGGGGTGTGAGTGGGATTTGGGGGGATAATTGGGATTGGGGGGGGTGATTGGAATTTGGGGGTGT